GAAAAGATGGAGGTGGGGTGGCAGGGAACAAAGCCACCCTGGGCATACACACGGATGGAAGTTGGAAAGGGCAAAGCTGTTCTGAGAAGCTGCAAGTAGTTCTGGATACTAGTATTCATTCACTAAAGCTATTAACCACACAATCAGTAAATATTTTGTGCATACTTACTGTGTGTCGTGCACTACATAGGTATGAAGGAATGGCTGGATATGAAGCAAAAGAAAAATAAGATCATGAAAAATTGACATTTAAAGTTTTAAGTAGTGTTCTGAAACTCTGTATCATTGCGACAGGCTGAATTGGCAGGTTTTTGGAGCAGGTATTGCAGGGTTGATGGAGGCATGAGGGAATTCTGGAGCACCCTGATTTTCTTTTGCTTATTTCTCAGAAATATAACTATTGGATATAAAGTTTCCTGGTAATAAAAATATGCTCATTGCCACAACTTCCATTTATCTTTTGCTTTTCCAACAGCTTATTTGAAAACGTACTATCTTTCATTCTTCTGGACATTGAGATTACCAAGATGAATGGGATATGTTCCGGTGCTCAGATTCCAAGGATTTGGGACAGAATCAGAAGTAAACAGTGCACCAAACACACTGTCATGTTAAACTGAGGTGACGAGTACTCATTGGGACACATAAGCATTGAAGTAATGATTCATTCTGAGATCAAATTGGTTCAGGAAATGCCTCAATGATGAAAAGCTAAAGAGCTTTTTTTTTTTTTTTGCCAGACACACTAACTTTTTAATATCCTGATGTACATTGTGTATTTCTGAGAAGAGGGAGAGTACAGAATGTCCTAGAGTTGTTTGGCAGGGGACCCTTTTAAGGGTTATTCTCTGATAGGAATAATGCAATTTTTCCAGGTTAGCGAGGAGCATTAATCAGCACCTTAAATGCATGGAGTAACAGTGGGAGATAACTTTGGAAAACTGGGTTGCGTTAGGGTAACGAGAAGCTTTGAATTACTTTTATTACATCCTAGGCTAGAAGAATCTGTGCTGGGAGTGGCTGACCAGAGCTACTCCAGACTGAGTTGGGTTGCAAGAGAAGGTGCTGTATTTCTCAGAAATGATGATTACAATAAAAAGAAACTGGTGAAGGCATTTAAGAAGAAATTTGCCTGCAATGGTACTGTAATGGAGCATCCAGAATATGGAGAAGTAATCCAGCTCCAGGGCGACCAGCACAAGAACATATGTCAGTTCCTGGTAGAGACTGGACTGGCCAAGGACGATCAGCTGAAGGTTCATGGGTTTTAAGTGCTTGTGGCTCACTGAAGCTTAAGAGAGGATTTCTTGCACTGAGTACACTGTCCCTTCTGTCCCTTGTCACAAGTTTAAAAACCTCACAGCTATGTAATGTAAACATTTAGGGTCCACTTTCAGTTGGACTAGTGTAACTCCTTCATGCAATAAAGTGAAAAGAGCAAAAAAGAAGAAATGATATAGGCTTGCATGAAAGAGTCAACAATTCACTGCAGCAAAGGGTCTTGAGGCCAGATTATACCCATGCCAGTCAGGAAAACAGACTGTCTCCGTATCTCTCCTCCTTGTTCTGAGCTCGTGAGATCCTCGAGGTGCTCACAGCACCAGGTAGCAAGTAGAAGAGCAAGTGAGGTGAGGAGAGAAAAGAAGCCAACAGGGCTACTTCGTCATCATGAGTTTCCAGCAGGCCCACAGAAGCCTCGCGGGGGACGTGGAGAACTCTACCTGTGCAAGAGTTTTTGCTTTTCTTAGTGTTACCAACTGGAGTCTTCTGACTGTGAGGCTGGACCACCCTTTGTGCTACTCGAGTGTCCGCCTAGCTCTGTGGCAAGCCTGAAGTTTCATCCAAATGGCAGAATTTTTTAAAAAGAGAAAGCTTTGAGAGAAGAAAGCATAATATAGCTTTCTTTTTCTACAAGAAGCCCAACTTGTTGAACAACTAGTTACATTTGCCTTGTACGTGGACATAAACTACTTTGCTTGCCTGGCTTCTGTCTTTTGGAAATGGCACTCACTTTCTTGGGTGTGGACTGCTCCTCCTCACACTAGTCTGTTCACATGGTTCCAGAGGGTGCTGCTAGCCACCGACATCGAGTCCCATAGACACAAACATGGACATATATCCCCAGCTCAAGCATCTTATTTTGCTCCCTTCAAACTTGCTTTGTGCAAATTTCTATCCTTATTTCCTGTGGAAGTGACCTAGGATAAAAAGTAGATAGAGAATTTTACCCTGAATGCTCAAAAATTCTCATATGAATCTAGGAAAGTTCCATCATTAAAAAGTCCAATAATTCCTGCCCAATGGACCCAAGGTATGACTTGTTAAGTTGGTGGAGGTAGAAGGGTGTCACAGGACCAGTATAGAATCTTCTTGTATTAGGGAGAGGAATCCAGGATAGAGGCTTGCAAGAGCTAAGAGTGGCTTTTATATCATATCACTTAGTGTAATTAGTAACTATTGATTGTTCTGTTTTCCTATTTTAATACATACATTAACAGATATATAGCTGTGTGATACATGATGCAGGCGCTGTTTTGAGAAAGACGTCATTAGGAGCTTTTCTTACTGTGAGAGCATCATGGACCATACTGACACAGACTAAGATGGCTATGATTTCACTTGGTATGTAGGACCAATGTGGGGACACAGTCCATCACTGACCAAAATGGCATTGTGGGGTGCACCACTAGGTACGCTAATAGAAAAAACAACTGCTTCAAAGCTCTTGCTCTTATGTGAGAGTAATCATGGCTGTTTGAATTGTAAAATTATAAACTATATCCCTCTATACAATTAGTTATCACTTACCTAATATCACAGATCCTAGGAGAGAATTTTGTTAAAACATCTACTTTTAATGACTGAAACCCGTAAAATGACAGCTCTAAAATAACTGATTCATTGTCTCCTGTCATGCTTTCTGCAGCTGGGATCCATACTAACCAGCATTCCTGCTGTCTCCCAATACAAAGTTCATGTCTCCCTCCCTGCATTGTATCTCCTTACTCTGTCTTCTATCTTGCTCTCCTCTCACCCAAAATCCAACTCATCTTTGAAGGGTCTCACTCTTATAAGCCTTCCACATCCAGGTTTACCTTGGATAATCCTTTTCTACTCTACCACCTATTTCTCCTTTCCTATAACTGTGTCTCACATATTTTCATATATGATACATCATAGTATTTAGCACTAGGCACACATATCTACTAAAAAATACCATTCCTAAGAGCTTTAGGAATACATACTTTACATACCATAAATTCACTTATTTTAAGTATACAATTCAAGATATTTTAGTAAACTTATATAGTTGCATAGTCACTACCACAATCTAACTTTAAAATATTTTCATCACCCTCAGAAGAACTCTAGTGCCTACTGAAATCATTCTCCACTCATGTCCCTCAGCCCAGACAGCCACTTATTCATCTTCTGCTGCTATAGATTCTGAGAGTCTTTTTGGTTTGAAGTATCTACATTTACTGATTACTTGTTATTGAACCCGATTTACAGACACTCTAAATTATATATACTTAAATAAATGTCATCAAATAAGTGGCATTGAAAAACACTGTCCTCGCTAGTAAATTTATCACATGTACTTCTTGTTCAATCTAAAAGATATCTATCTAGGCAAAATCTAAATACTAAGATTTATTTTATATTCAATATTCTTTAAGTTGGTTTTATTTTGCAAAGTGAAAAACAGGAAGGTATTGGAGTGGACAGATTACACTGTAGCACCTTGAGACTATTCAAACAAATCAAATTGCTTGTGAAAATTAAATAGGAGGTAAGACAAACATTCTTTTCTTTAATCCTCTTGTCTTTAACCCAAGGGAGACGGACTCCTCCTGAGAACAATTATAATGGACTGCACATAGATGTTCAAGATATCAGTTCCTGCATAGGTCAAATATATGTCAGAGTGTACATCTTTTATTAGTTTTACTTATATTTGTTTAAACAAGTCATGTTTTCTATCCAAACCTCTTAAATGTTAAGTCATCCTTTTGAAACATTACATTTTAACTCAGTTTAAATTTTGGTCATTTTATTAACTATCTTATAAGTACACAAAAAAGAAACTAAAAACAAAATTATTTCTTTCCCTGCTTTTAACAAATGATTAATTTATACAAATATTTAATTTAAAGATATTTTAACAAAGAGTTAAGAATATTGGTAGATAACACAAAAGTACATCAAGAAAAGAAGTAGTCATGGTTTTTATTTTACAATGCCCAAATAAAATAAGAATATATCACATTTAAAAATAAATCTTATCTAAAATGCTATAAAAGAATTGGCGAAATGTAAGAGTAGAGGGTAGTGAAAAGTATAACTCCATGCATTCACACTGTTAGAAGACTGTAGACTCTTTCAGAACAAACAGTATTTTGGATCTTACTTATTTCAGGGTAATGTGAATTTAGCCCTGAGAATCTGAAGTATTTAAATCAAAGTTCCAAAATGTGACAGCTCGCATTTCTTAAATATAGCATAACTTTTAATTTAATGGTATAATAATAAATTCAAGTGACTATATTATACTGTGCTCACCATCACTAACTATTTAAGATTTTGTTTATACTTGTAATTTTCAAGATCAGGAATCAAAGAATCTCAGTTGGACCAACACTGTCTCCTGAATCTGTGAGCAGGAAAGGGAAATTCTTTATTTCCACAAAGACAATTTACTAAGTAACCTTGAGGAACCATTCATTTCTGCAGTATCTTTAAGTAAGAGAATTATTTCTGCACTCCAGTAGCAGAAACCTAAATATTGGGAAAATATAAACAAGTATTTACTATAGTATTTATCTTATTAAGTAATTAAAATGAAAGGTTTTCTGCCCTGTGATATCAGATTTCAAAAGTACTTAACATTTAGCAAAACCAACATGGGGATACTAAAATGCAAAGCTTTCAAACTGAAAACAACACTGTTATTAAACTTTAAAAAATATCTTACTATTGTATAACTGAAAAAGCCTATATCCATTAAAACAATTATCTTCTTTTACAGAATTGGATATTTATTTACATCATGCTGACCATACTACAAAAATAAAATTTAGTTTGACAGATGCTCAAGTTCATACATTTAGGGCTGGTTATAAAATGTAAATATGAAATGTTCACATAAAATATTTTATCTTTCATTCTAACTATACTCCGCAACCAAAAAATGATTACTATAAAAACCTGGCCTAACTCTGTTTTCTCTAAATAAGAAGTATTTTAAAGCTTTTTGAGACTGTGACAGGCCTCAGTGACCAACTGTGTATTCATTAGTACAAGATGTTCTTCCTATATGCTTAGATATTTATTATGATTGGATAAATCAGGTGGTAAATTATGATTATGGATAAGTCAGGTGATTTATTATTTTTGGATAAAACAGGTGATAAATTTCTATAAAGAAATATAACTATAATATAATGCCATCAACTATACACATGAATAATCAGATTACATTACTTCTATACTTTTCTTTTTTGAGACAGGGTCTCACTAGTTGAGACTCACCTGGAACTCACTTTGTAGCCCAAGCGGGTCTCAAATTCACAGCAATCTTCCTGCCTCAGTCTCCCGAGTGTTGGGGAGACAACACCACTCTTGGTTAAATTACATTACTTTTAGGTAAAACTTTAATTTACCTTGAGCTTTTTAAATTGAAAAGTTATTTCTTTGCTCATTTAATCTCTAAATGAATTTAATAAACTGAATTTCGGGATCCAAGTGCTACTTGCAATTTATGGTGAAAGGCATTTATCCGTTCCTTCTGAACTGGCCAGTTCAAGATGCAGTGAGACTTAAACATTCCTCTTCTCAAACAGAGAGCATGGTTAAGCTTATAATCTGGAATGTCCTCAAGAAAAACCAATATAATGGAATCTAGATTTTGTTCAATAGCCTGTTGAACTGCATGATGCACCTTGAATCTAAGTAGAAAAAGTTGAAAAATGAAATAATTAGTATAATATTTAAGCCCAACAAACTAAAATTTGTTGCAGAATTTGACTGTGTCACTAATAATCAAGATTTTCTCCCTTAATTTTACTTTTAAAATTCTATGAGTTGTGATATTTGAAAGTTCAGTAGAAAAACAAATATGTATTTAAAATTTCACAATGTTCACCTACCTTTTGCACAGTGGATCTTTTAATAGATGCTGTGTTAGAACAAAAATAATTTTCCTGCTTCTTTTGATGCTATTAACAATTGCTTCAAGTCCAAGGACACCTGCTTCAAAGTCCCTTTCTTCCAGACAAAATTTGAGAGATTGATCTTTTTCTTCCATTGGGGAGAAGTTTTCCCAGACCCAATCTCTATCTTTATAGGCATGAATTATATATGCTGTGTATTCAAATTGCTCTGTCTGTCCATCTACTTCCTTGAAGCCAAGAACTCGATGGACCAGAACATTCCAATAAAAAGATATCCTCCAGCCCTCAAAGCGGATGAGGAATACAATAAAGATAAAAGTGAAAAGCAAACTGGTACTGACCACAAAAAAGAGTTCAAAGGGGGCACTGTCTTTGCAGGGTGCTGTATCAAAAAGCATCACTGGGAAGCCATGATATTGAGGTGGAGTGTTGCAGATGTAATGAGTTGATAGCTCTGAGATGTTAGTATGGGTCTTATTAATCCAATTAACAAACCAAGCAATGCTTTCACATGTACAATCAAATGGATTAAAGCGCATATCTAAATAACTCAAATTCTGGAAAACTGGCTCAAAAACATTCTTCTCAACTGATGTTATGAGATTCTTCTGAAGGTTCAATGACTTCAGAGACATTTGATGGTCAAAGAGAGACGGTGGAAGTATGTTTAAATTATTCAATCCTAAATTAATGCTCTTAAGTTCAAACAAGTCCTTGAACATGTCTGCTGGGATTTCATCAAAGCCATTAGACTCTAAGTTAAGGATATGAAGGTGGGTAAGACCCTTTAGAAAATGAACAGGACCGCCAGGGTTTGCATGTTTCCAGAGCCGTGCTAAGTTATTATGCTGCAAATCCAGAATTTCTAGCTTCTCAAGACCTTCCAACAGTTCATCGTTGATGTTGGCTATGTTGTTGTTGCTCAGATCCAGAATGGTCAAGTTATGAACACTGTGGAAGGGTGAAGGGGAGCTGTCCACATTTTTAAAACCCACCCTTCGGAGCATCAGTCGTTGAAGTCCAGGGACCGATGCAAAGGATTTGCTCGTCAGTTGTAGGTATTTGTTGTAGGAAAGTAGATTTCAAAAATATTTCCCAGACCTTTCCATTCTTGGCCTGTGAGTTCTTGCTCAATTTCATTAAGGCCAAGGTCCAGTACTTCTAGGTAGCCCAAGCAAGAGAAAGAACCAGTCTCTATTTTTGAGATTTTATTTCTGGTTAAGTTGAGCACACGTAAAGGAGAATGAGCAAGTGATAAAAATGTTTCATTTGTTAAAGTTTGCAAACCTGTGAAAGTGTTGGATAGACTCAAGTATTTCAGATTTATCAATCCACTGAACATACTCCTTTTTATTCCTGGAATATTGTTATCCTCCATGTTAAGGTACTGCAAACGTTTTAGCCACTGAAAAGAAAAATCATCAATCTTGGGAAGTGAAGCAAAGGAAATACTTTGTTTAGTAAATGATCGTTTCAAATTCAGGTATCTCACATTAAAAAGCCCATGAAAAGAATGAGAAGACAAATGTGCTACATTATTATACTCCAGGAAGAAATATTTCAGATGTGGAAGCCAAGAAAAGGAATCATTATCAATCACATTTAAGTTGTTGTGGGAAAGGTCCAGCGTAGTGAGATTGGTTTGCTTTAGTCCAAAGAAAGTTGTTTTGCTTGTTCTATAGAGCTGGATATTACTCAGAGACAGATTCTGGATGCTTGTATTTGATAATTCCAAACAAAGCTTCTCTGTGAGACCAGGACCCAATTGGACATTGTTCAAAATGAGGCCAAATAATTCTCCAATCACATGAAAACACCCTGGAGAAAACTAAAAGTGAAGGAATAAGATTAATAAACAAGATAATAAGCTTTCTATGATCCTTGAAAAACATAAATATAGTTGTTTATTCAGTTTTCCTCCCCTTTGAACACACCTCTCTCCATTCCTCTACGGCCCTCTTCCCCTTCTCTGTGCTTGGCACACACCACCCTGCTCCCCCAGCCCCTGACCCGCCCTGGTGACTGGCTAACTCACACAAAGCGTTTACATTTTGTTTACATGCCACTGCTTTAGGGGGTCTTCCCTGACTTCCATAGCTAGGTGAAATCCTTGGTACTTTTACATCATTGCATTGCATACACTTATAGTTACTAAACTATCTGTGAAGTCACCATTGGAGCAGATCCTGTTTGTGTTTTTTGATCATTTATTGTCAGTGACTGTAAGGAAGAAATAAATGTATGGATGGCTTTTTATTGGAGGCAGTGGTTAGTGAGTACTGGGGATTGAACCCAGGGCCTTTGCACTGAGGTATATCCCCAGAGCTTTTAATATATATAATATATAATATAAAGTATTTTCTGAGATGGAGTCTCAGTTAAGTTGCCTGAGCTGGGCTCAAATTTGTCGTCTTCCTGCCTCATTAGTGTTGGGATTACAGCCATGTGCCAACATATCTAGCTGGATAGTTCTATTATGAAGCAAAGATTATTATGATTTAGATGTAAAATGTCCCCTAAAAGTCACCTGCATTCAAACTTGGGGCTTCTGAAAGATGACTGGATTTGGGGGATACCATATTCATTAGTGGATTAATCCCGTTCATAGTTGAATGTGATATGAGGAGGTGGGTTGCCGGGAGTATGATGTGGAAGGTTGAATTCTTGTATTCTTGGCCCAAGCTCCCCCTCTCCATCTCTCTGACTGTGTCTCTATCTCAGTCTCTGTCTCTATCTCTATTTCTGTGTGTGTGTGTGTGTGTGTGTGTGTGTGTGTGCGTGTGTTTCTATTCTCTGCTTCTCTGTGTGTCTCTGTGCCTGTCTTTCTCTGTCTCTGTCATCTCTCTGTCTCTCTGTCTCTGTCTCTCTCTCTCTCTCTCTCTCTCTCTCTGCCTCTTCCTGCTCCCCCACTCTCCCTCTTATTCCTGATTGCCATGTGTCAAGCAGCTTTGCTTTGTCATTTCCTTCCCCCATGCTGTTTCTGAACGCACGGAAACAGTGAGCAAAAAAAAAGTAAATCTCTCCTCCTTTTAGTTGCAGGCATCAGGTATTTTGTGCTAGTGGTGGAGATGTGACTAATACAGTGACATACACTTTCTCATCAGGAATTCAGAGTAGCGGCTGTCTTTTCTGTCTTCCACCCAGGTTTCCACCTGATTCTACTTTACTGTACTAGTTCCAAATCCTTCCCACCTGCTCCTTCTCCCTTATCAAAAGTCGCCTCTGTTCTACAACTCAGTGCTGAGCCAAGAAAACAGAAGAAGCTGTAGAGAGAGAATCACAGGGAACAACAGCCAGTCGCTGGCAGGAGAACCCACCAGGACAGCGAAGGTGCCCTGATTTCTAATGTTTCCTGTGTGAGATGTTTGGGCTAATGGGGAAAGATGTGAAGGAGAAGGTGTGCTCCATGGTAAATAAAGGGAAGTAAGATGGAAACAAGGAATCATTTAGGATGCATCTGCACGTTAGCATTATTTTGCAGCCACTAAAATAGAGTCTTTGAGTTATTCTTAATTATGTTGGAGATATTCATGATATGATATTAATTTTAAAAGGCAGGAGACAGCATTACCCTCAAGAGGCAACATGGCACAGAAGTAAAGAGTATGGGCTGTGGTACATGGCCACAAATCCGGATCAGTCACGTAGGGACTACTCAGGTAGTCACGCAGGGAAACTTAGATATGTCACTTAGCCCTTTCCATCATAATTTACCATTGTACAAAAGGAAAATAAAAATAAGTTGATTAAAATGACTACGTTCATAAAAGATTTTAAAATTTCAGGATATGGCCCAAAGTTAATATTCTAAATCCTCTATGAATTTCAGCTGCTTTTAAAAACATAATTTATTTAACTTAGGAGTATATCTTCAATATGTATCCATTTTCCTATGAATGAATCTATTTTCTCGTTCTTTATGGCTGAGTAATATTCCATTTTATGAATAATCTGCAATAATACAGAAGATCCTAATAAGATTACTGACATTTAGAAATGGGAAGAAAGGAGCTAAAGGTGTTGGGAAGGTGGAATGGGTAGGGGAAGGGTAATAAGGGAAAAGAAAAAAATCTGAGATAATGAAAAGCTGTAAATAAAGTGTTTGTAGATGGCGAGGGGAGGAGGGGGTGAAGGGAGGGCAGGGACAAGGGGAAAAAATGAGAATCAAGACTTGTCATGTAGAGGTACAAGATCCCAGCAATGAATGTAACTGTACTGTATCCCTAAAATGTACCAATAAACTCAATTAAAGCTGAAAAAAATAATTTATATGAAGAAGTCCTGGAGGTAAATATACCTAAATATTAACAAGAGTTGTTTCTGATTGTGAACTTTTCACTAATTTTTATTAACTCATTTTTACTAGTCCTCATTACTTATAAATTTTATAAGACTATGGAATAAATTGAAAAAAGCTATTTAAAAACAAAATGAGTAGCTTACACAAAATATTTTATTATTTCAGAATAACTTTGTACATAGTCCACTTTTAAGTCTGAAAAATAATATAGCTTGTAAAAATGTTTTACTTAAAAAACTTCAAGTATTCTTACAATCTGTGAAGGTATAAAAAGTAATCCTCCATGTGTATGAAAAATAGTTCAACTGAAGACTGTGGATTCAAGAAGAGATAGTCAATGCCTACCATGGCATACCCCATTATAAGAAGGTTTTGATAACATAATGTTAGATGTCACTAAGCACTCACTCCATGCCAGACACCATACTAAAGCCTTCACTATACAGTCCTATGAAGTAATGTTGCTGTTGTACTGTTTGAAAGCAAGGAGCCAAGGCACAGAAATAATTTGAATAACTTTCCTGATTGCTCAGTTTTTAAAAAATAGCCTCCACAGGGTCATCTAACTTAACTCTAAAACTTGTGTTCTTAGGCTATTATACTATTTTAAATCTTCAGATGTTTTATGAGATGAAGAGTATTATTTCCATTTTAAAAGTAAGGAAATTAAGGCCAGTAAATTTCCCAAGGTCAAAGAATGGCACAGGGATTTTAACCCCATTTTACAGCAGGGCTCTATCTTCTAACCATTTATTTTAACAATGGCCTCAATGGACCCAGGCAACATATGTGAAAGATTTCTAGAAAACACAGGGTATATGATTTCTTCTCTAGGAATCTTTAGCTTCTTATCAGTGTCACAAGGTTAGACACTACACATGCCTAAGGGTAGAATGAAAAATACTTTTACCCTACTTCTTACCTCTTTAATTTGATTTGATGACAAGTCTAATTTTTGTAAGGAAGAATTACCAAGGAAATAAAGTTCTTCACCTCTTAGTGCATGGATTTTGTTATTTGATAACAGAAGCTCTTGGAGATTTCCCAGTTGGAACTGGGTTCCTAATTGTGTAGATGATAAACCATTATGAGAAAGATCTAGTTTGATTAAATTCTGAAAATAAAAAAAAATATATATGTTAGAATCTTGTCATCCAAAACAGCTTCTCTAAATGTAAATGAATCTGAGAAATATCTCAACAGTAAAATGTCATCTGTTATTCTCAGAAATGGATAATAGGAGTAATAAATAATCTTTGTTGTTATTATATACACCACTATTACAGGGATTCAGTCTTTTATTTCAACAATAATTTTGCCTTACCAAAATAAAGGATTTAAGCCCATTAATTTGAGATAAGAAAATTCCTAATTTATTTATAATAAATGTTATTCACAATGTAAAGAATATCCACGTGGCTTATTAAACATGTAGTGTCATACATTAGCCTTAGAATTAACAGAAAAAAAGAAGGAAAAATGTTTCCTTAAGAAAGACAAATAGAATTTTGCCACCCATGAAATCCGAAAAGCAGGTGTGCACTACCATGCCCAGCTAAGATTTTTATATTTGAGAATGATTTCAGAACACAGAATATCAGTATGTTTGTTTTATTGTTTGTATTGTGGTATTTCACAAAATAGCTGTGACTCACTTTTGAATATGTAAACTTCAAACTCAGTTAAAAATTAAGACAAAACCTGATAGCTGTTAGGGGAAAATCTAATCTGTGTTAAGCAGAAAAATACTGTTATTTATGCTTTTTAAAAAAGAAACCTTTTGTCAGTATTTTCTGTAATCAGATTTTGAGGTCTTGGTGTCCAAAGATACTTCATCCACACCAGACTCTAATAGGAAACAAGAAAGGACTTAAAACAGCTAACCAACTAGTTAAAGTACTGAAGAACTGCCTCAGGCTTACAGATAGTAACATGCATTTTCAGATTTAAAATTCAAAGTGCTTAAAAAGTGATACTCTGAGGAGAGTTCTTAAATCAAGAGAGAAAATTTTTGTTGAACAAATTACTTTATCATTATATCAACTTTGCCCTTGATTATTTTTTAGCTATTTCCATATTAAATCAGCAGTGCTGCAAGGTCATTGCCATGTTCCTCCCAGAGAGTCAGATGCTTCTCTAAGTTTGATTTCTACTCCTTGAATCTAAGTCCTATTTTTAATAGGAGAAAGTAAGAGAGGCAAACTTCTTTAAATTTAAGAGAGGTAGATTGATTTAAGGCTATAATTTTGAAATATTTTATATCAAATGGCAATATTTCTGTATGATTCCCGCAATCCCAAAAGAGTAAATCAGCTTCCTTACTCTTACCTTGACATTGAGGTATTTAGTCAAAGGATGAGTTAGTGACTTCAAAAGTTAACATTAGATAATGTATTTTACATTTCTGAGATGGAAATAAACACTTTCACCTTACCTTTTGGTTTTTAAAAGGATTGTTTTGTATTTTCTGGATTGAGTTGGACATTAAATGGAGTTCAGCCAAGTTCATGCAAAACATGAGAGTTTTATCAGAGAGATGAGATAGCTCATTGTGTTGGAGGTTCAAAACTTTCAAAGAAGGCAGATTTTGGCACAGTTCTGGCTCTAGTTTTGAAATGCTGTTAAATCCTCCATCCAAGACAGTAAGTTTGCTGTATCTTGTAAAATTGGTAGGTGGTAATCTTCTGAGCTGGTTGTGGGTCAGATTCAACACTGTAATGTTTGTGGGAAGGTCATCAGGCACTTGAGTCAGCTTCAGATGACTGCAATCAGCAACTTCATGTGTCACCGTGCATTTATTGGTGGAGGAGGCATACAAAACCCAAAGGGGCAACAGTCCCAACAAGGCGTAGCTATAAGGCAAAGACTGTTTCATGACTCTGCTCTATGAAAGAAATACGGAAAAGCAGTGAATACTTTTGCTAACATGTGCTTTCATAGATAGTATATTCCTTATGAAAGAGATATCCAAAATTTGGCTAATTAAAATATCTTCACACCTAACTCTTATGCTATTGAACTGTATAATATACATCAAATGCAAATAATTCAAATAGCACAGAAAGGTAAAAAATGGAACATGCAAATCCTTTCTCATTCTTCACCTCCACCCCAGTTGCAATGTTCCAAGGTAATCTCTCAGGACAGTTTCTATTTTAAATTCTCATAACTACTTCCATGAAAAGTAATTTACTTGCCCTTCTATTTCTTTACTAAGTTTGAGCATTTACTTCCCATTATAAAGATATAGTAGTTAGTAATACTATTTCTTCATTCTCTTCACCACTTTACTTTTATTTTATTGAATCTACTGTTACCTTTATAATTTTAAAGACTACATCCAAAACTCTATTTATAAACCATCCAACTTTAGACTACATATTTTTAAATTATTTTATTAACACAAAATAATTATGCATATTTATGGGGTACAGTGTAATTACTTCAATACATATACATGATGTGTAATGATCAGAGCACAGTAATTGGCATATCCACCACCTGAAACCTTTATCATCTACATTGGAAACACTCAAAAATCCTTTTCAGTAGCTATTTTCAAATATGCAATCAAGTTATTGTTAACCATCATGATCTTACTGTGGTATAGCACACTTGAAGTTATTAATCTTTTCAACTGCAATCCAGTACTTGCTAACCATCCTCTCCCCGTTTCTATTTCCCCACAAATTTGCCAGTCTCTGGCAAGCACTCCTGTACAATTCTAGGAGACTAAGTGCTTTAGCTTCTACATATAAGTGAGAATATGGGGTATATGTCTTTTTGTGTCTGATTGATTTCACTCAACACGATGTCCTCCAGGATCATCAGTGTTTTTACTAAGCATTTTCTTCCCACTAAAAAGAACTTAAATTATACTCGTCCTCCTTCTCTTCACAACTTCTCTTATATTATTTTTAATTTTATTTGATTGCTGGATGTTTATGAGTATGTTTGTGGTACATAATGAACACATTTGCTGTGAGTAGTTGGTACATATACATGCATGACACATTTTAATTCTTTTTATGTCCCCTCCTCTCCCTTCTTCGTCCCCAAATCTCTCGGTCATCTTCTCAGTGCTGCATTTATAAGTTTAACTGCTATATCTAAAAGTATGTTTCTTGGTCAATCAACCTTAACAACATCTCTTCATGCCTCGCTTTGTGATTCAGGAAATGAACAATTGTGTTTTCTCTACACTTCTTCTGTCCTTACATTTCCTAAAACTGTCAGTTCTATCTTTGCTCAACACTGTCAAATATGAAATGTTAGCATTTTATTCCAGAGTCTGATTAAGTAGGCAGTGCTTGGCCTAAATGAAACTGTGAAACCTGAAGGTCATAAGTATCCTTTAGGGTTTCACCATACAGCGTGAACACATTGGACTAAAGGATGACTAATGTGTCTGGTGGGATTGAGGCGGATGATGTGAGATTTCACCTCAGAAATCAGAACAGTGTGCAGCATAAAACTTACATTTATTTCTGGAATTTCCTATTTAATATTTTTGGCCTTCTCTTAACCATAGGTCAATGAAATAATGAATAAAGCCACAGATGAAGAAGTCTGTACTTTTTCATTTTTCTTTGTCTTTCTTTCTGTTCTCTTTCTATCTCCCTCCCTCTTCTCTCTCCCTCCCTCTCTCTC